TGCTTATTGGTGTTGTTTCCATTTTAGCAAATAGAGGAGAATATTGTGTTTTTCTGAATAAGATGATCTCTATTTGCTAAAATGGAAATAATGCCAATATAATAAGTAGTATTAATATACAGGGTCCAACGTAGACAATGATATAATAAAGAATTTTGGACATAAGCTTTAATATAGTTGTTGTAATTTCTGGTCAGTCTAAGACAAGCCCAGAGACATGGTAACCCTGTGTCTAATAACTTCATTTTTTTAATGTTAAATGGAAAGATTTCATAGATTAAATGGCTATATTTATCTATTAAATCTTCTATTGAGTCTTTCAGTTAGTCTTATTTATTATAAATTGAAGAGTCAAATATAATATGTAATTACTTGTTAAAATTCAATTAAAGTAACTTTTATTTTATATATTTATACATAACTTTTTCTAAAATTAATACAGTATAATCTCCTTTATCCACTATTGGATATTATGAAGTTGTTTTCCACTGAGCAAAGATAGGAATTTTAATGTAAAGCTGTTTGGTTAATATGTAATATGAAGCACGTTTCAGTCCCAAGAATACAGTGATGCTGTTCAGGTTGGTTAATACAAAGGCAATATCTGCTGTAATTGTACGCCTAACAAACATAGTTGAAGACACAACAATTTAGACTTTTGCCTGGATGAATTGGTTTTTCTGAAAGGGAGTTAGTCAGCATTAGTCATAATTAACAAATTAGTCAGTAATTCCTACAGGGATGGACCTAAATGTCCCATTCCAGATTGGACAGTTGTTTGACCTTCAGAATCCCTTAAAAGTGCCATGTCATCTTGAGTTAAACATAGCTGTGATTTTAGTTATTATTTGAGTCTTGGAATGGCTTGGTGGATGCAATGCAGCTCATTATTTTCTGAGTGGCAAAAACATCATGTTCCAATTGAGTTTGGTTAATATGAACCTTGTTATTATGAAGTCTGCATTTTTCAGTCCCTGGTTATACTGTACATTATTAAAACATTTATTTCAAATTTATTCTTTAAAATTAATTTTTTTGTCATTTGTCATAAAGTTTCTGTTGAATTAATGAGAGAGTAATTCAATTGAACTTTAAAAGAATATACTAGTGGTTATTACAGTAAATTTTTAAAATGTAGTTTTATGTATCTGCAGTTTTAGCATTTAGTTTTCTTAGCAAAAATATATCCATTATATTTTTCAAGAGAGATAATGAAAACAGCTGTTTCCATTATCCTTATGGCTTATATTTTTAGAAAAACAGTTTGCTTTAAATTAAGTCTTAATGAAAATTTTAGTGAATAGAATAAATATAAAATTAGCAATTTGACAAAAGAACGATTCACTAAAGTATATATTATCATCAATTTTACTATATTTCACTCTATCAAAATAAACATATTCTATCTGATTTAAGTTAATAATTTATCAGATTTTTCTTGTTACTTAATCTATCAGAAAAATGCTTCTCGTGCATTTCTTTGTTACATTGTTACTGGTGCAATTTTGAAAATTACTATAAGCAACTGTAGCAGAAAGATGAAAATGTTTGAGTGAAAATCAAATTTATCTGATTAAAGTTGGTTTTAAAATAAGTAACTGATTGAAGAAAATGTATTTAATGCATAATTAGCTAGTTTAATGAGAGTTTGAATTATTGTGAATTTTTAGTTATTATTTAATTAAAAAATCTAAAATAATTTCTTACTTAAAGTCCTATATTACATCTGAAGCTGAGGAAATCTCATACTTTTACCTAATATCTAATTTTGGACTTTTTTAACCAAGGAATTGTTTAGATTTTTAAATTAAGATGTGTAGGGTTTATATTTTGTTAGTAATCATCATCATATTTAATAGAAAGTAAACAAAAATGAAAATGATTTTGACATAATTGGAAATGACAGTGCAGTATTATCAGATTTACAATTTTGTTTGCAATGACAGTGCTTTTGACAATAATCTGTTGATATACTGAAAGAATTTTATTCTAGGCTGGAGTCTAGAATGAAATTCTTTCAGTATCTCAGCAGTTTATTGTTTATCTTATCATTTAAAAGATCATATAGTATGACTTGACATTAGTATTTGTCAATAAATTGGCCACAATGTTTGTAGATTGTTCTTTTCTATGAGTACAAAAATTACAGAAGGTTATCCAAATTTTTTTAATAAATTTTATAACATTGATTATTATTGGTTCTTTTTATTTAATTTAAATAAATTTGTATATGAACAGATTTGTCAAATTTTAATTTTATAAAATTTCAATCCTTAAAATTTTCATAGATGCATTTCCATAGATCACAAATGATTGATTGTAAGAGAGGACTTTCTGTCAGTGACATTTTCAAAGTTTCAAGGATACATCTTTTATTCCATTTATCATTAATAATATTTTATGAATAAAATTTTCTTGTGTCTTACATATCCAATGTTATTTTATGTTAATAATGATAAAATCTTCTATGATTGATAAGTTCTGTTAAATTATTAGTCTGACAATTTGATGTGATTTGATGAAATATTGCATCTCCCTAACTAGAAATAAAAATAAATTTTTAATATTTAAAGCATTTATCATAGATAATAGGTTACGTCTAAAATTAATGAGATTCTATCATTAAGGAATGAATGAATTTATGGAATTTCACTTTTAATTCATAAAATTTTATAAGAAATTCATTTAACTTCATAAAATGGCTATCTTAAATTCTTAATATTATTAATGACTGCATGAATTTCATAATTAATTAGTAATATTTTTAGGGATCATTATTATAAAACGTATACATGATTAATATATCTGATAGATACTGCTATAAAATTTAAAAGCTGTTAAATATTGATCTTTGTGATAAAATTTCTAAGTGGAGATTATGTTAATGCACAGTTCAAAATTTCTCATAAATTTAATTCCATAATTATGGATCAGTGAATAAAACTGATGCAACATTTTAGAATAATTTTGAGATAATTGAAAAAGAAACTTTAAAATGTAGATTTTAAACTTGTCAATGAATAAAATATTTTATATTAATGAATATTTTAAAATGCATATTTTAATTTTAAATGGGTACAATAAGAATAAAAGCTTTTACAGAGAAAATTGTTCATTCTTCATTGATTGTGTGTCTAAAAATAACTTACTTTATTGACTCTTCACAATTGATTAAATTTATTAATGGTTTTTCTGATTGAGTAGAATTCATTTAAAGTAATTTTTGAAGTTTTTTTCTCTTTACTTTAGCTTACGTTTAATAAATACAATTTTCCTCATTTGTAATGATATAATAATGGCCATTATTAATTTGTTTAAAATGATTTTTTTCAGCAGCAGTTGCTTACTTGTCTGGTTTTTAAGTTCTTATTTATCTAATTATTCTGTATGATTATAATTAACTATAAATTTCTTGCAAAATAAATAAATAAAAAATGAATTCCTCTCTCAGAGTTTCTTTCTAAGGATTCAGTAATTGATCATTCATTATCAAAGAAGATTTTCAGGTGTTTCTTTCCAATATTATTCACTGTTTTATATTAATATAATCTATATATAAAATTTTAACTTTTTAAATATAAATAACCATAATTATCCTGTTTAAAAAACTGTCAATCTCTACTTTGGAAAAATTAACTTTCCATAAATCTTATAACAAAAACGTTTCAAATATGATTATAATATTTCAAATAGGTGTAATAGTTTTATCATTTTTATATAGATAATATATGTGCGTCATAGATTTATCAAGGCATTATCTTTAGATCTTGGTAAGATTAAAGGTGATTTGAAGAAAACATTTTTATTACTGAAATTTTTTATAAGGTATGGTTGGGCAATGTTTTTAGCAAATTTCCTTTATTTTAGGAATATCTGTTGTTACTTAAAGGTAATATCAATTAATTCCAGTAAAAAAAAAAGTATTTTGTACAGAAGTGATTAAGTTCAGCTACATATGTTTTTATATTGAACAGAATAAAAAATTTATATGTCATACTTTTATCTTGTAATACAATATTTTAATCTAAATATTGAAAACTAATTTTATAAGCATTAGTTTTGTCTAATTAAATTATTTTTTAATGAAATGGCATTAATTTATAATAGATTTACATTATCATAATACAGTGTCTTCCAAAAAGAATGCTACCATTATCTGATGTTGATGTAATGTACTGTACATTGAAACATTGGAAAACTGTCCTAGTTTCACATTTGCCTATTACAGTTCCTTGATGTGTGCTTCTAACTGATTCTCAACTTCTTCCTACACTTGCTACAGCTGTTCCATTGTCATTCTCTATAGCAGCCACAATTCTGCAGCCCCTGCAGATTACTGATGTTGCACGATGACAAGTGATTCAATCTTTGCAAACTGCATACACAAAATGCCTTCTGTATTGTGGAGTCACCATTTTTATTTACAGTGCTTTCTAGAGGTGTGAATAATTAGGAAATGAGACGTACGACAAATGCAGATAATAATAATAACAACGAGCAGTTATTTATTGTGACATTGTCACAATGGTTGGGCTGCAAGTTTTTATTATATTTTTAATTTATTTAATTTAAATTACATGCTCTCCACTTCAAATTATTAGTAGTGTCTTACTTCTATACATCATAATTTTCTGTTAGCAATAGAGTTGTGCTGATCATCTAACTGCTTGCAGGGGAAGTTTTGAATTGAAATAACATGATTTCTAGTTTGCATTGGAAATTCATATATAGTTAATTGGGGTCTCCAGCTCCTAAGGTTTCCATATCTGGTCTTGTCTTTCATCTAACTCCATTCTTGAGATTAAGGAAAGACAGATGGACAGACAACAGTGGGAATTTATAAGTCTATAAATTTTTCAAATTGCAGCCCAATAATAATTAATGTAATTATAATAATTTAAAATGGTAGCATTTCTTTTGGAAGATCTTGTAAACACTATCATAAAATTACCTGCTTTCTAGTTTATAGAATAAATAATTTTTAAAATTTATTAAATTTATATATTAACCTATAACTCCTTCTTTTTCAGGTTAAATCAATGTTCAAATTATGGATTCAACAGACAAGACATTTACTGCTACATGTACACAGGAAAGCAATTTGCATTTTTATAATTTTATGTATTGTTACTGTGATTTCTTTGATACATCAATGGAATTTCAAGTCCCAACACATATTACAACATCTATATTTCAACTACAATTTAGATATAGAAGAACCAGTAAATCCAAACCAAACATGTGTTTTGCCAAGAATTCATCCTTTTGATAATTCAATATGGCCTTATATAACAAGTTCAAGACCCATTAAATGTAGAACTGGCGTAGGTTATTTTACTTTTGTAGACAAGTCGGGCCTTCTGCAATACAATCATACGGCGATTGTCAATGCAAATTATAAGAATATTCATTGTAGTTATCAGTATATCGTCAGGAAATTGGACAATGATGATCAAATAGAATATAGTGAGAAACAGAATCTCCCTCCAGAAGGAATTACTCTTTCATCTGATTTTGTTTTAGTGACTTGTTCAAATTTTTACGGCGTTGATATTTATTCGGCAATTCATACGCATGTTAGAAATATTGATACTGAGAGATCTTCAAATCATTCCTTCAACGTGCTTATATTTGGACTTGATTCCATGTCAAGATTAAGTTTTATCCGGCTTTTGCCAAATACTTATCAGTATTTAAAGGATAATATGAAATCGTTTATATTTCGTGGCATGAATAAAGTTGGCGACAATACTTTTCCTAATCTCATTGCCATGTTAACAGGAAAAGAAGCTTATGGGAATGAATTGCCTTCTGAATCTAAATTTGATGAATGGCCTTGTATCTGGAATAATTATTCACAGAATAATTATTTAACACTTTTTATTGAAGATTTTCCAAAATTTGGTCTCTTTAATTATCTTGCACCAGGCTTTAAAAATCCTCCAACTGACTATTATTTTCGTCCATTTTGGTTAGCTGCAGAAAATTCTAAAATAAACCATATGAGTTCTCATTTATGTTTTGGTCCCACTCCAAAACATATTGTTCAGATGAATTACTTGGAAGATTTTATCGTCAAATATAATAGGAGTAATTATTTTGCCTTTTCCTTTCTTGCTGAGATAAGTCATGAATATTTATCAAAAGTGGCTTCGGCTGATCAGGATTTTGTCAATATGTTAAAAATGTTTTATGAAAATAATCTTCTTGCTCGAACAATTTTCATTTTCATGTCCGATCACGGACACCGTTTTGATGCCATTAGAAAAACTCCTGTTGGACGGGTTGAAGAGAGAATGCCTTTTTTCTCTATATTTGTTCCTGCTATACTAGCCAATGAACAGCCACAAGCAATAAAAAATTTGCAAGCAAATACAGCTAAGTTAATTACTCATTATGATACATATAGTACACTGATGGATATTTTACAGTATTCAGTTAAAAGAACAATGCTTGGTCACTCTTATTCCAAATTTGGTATTTCATTGTTTAGCAACATTCCATTAAATCGGACTTGTGAAGCAGCTGGTATTCCTGATCATTATTGCACATGTGGTAAAGAGATTCCTCTTACTGTAGATTTACCAAAAATCAGGCAAGCTGCTGATGTTATAGTTACTAAAATAAATGAACTGCTATCAGAATTAAGGAGAAATACTCATTCATGTGCTCTTTTGACATTAAGTCAAGTAATAAGTGCCTCAAGACTTCTTTCTCATCCATCAGTATCTTCTGCCGATATCGATTATACATTGAGCATTATGCTAGAAACTAATCCAAGCAAAGGTCTGTTTGAGTCCACAGTCCGTCTGTCCAAAGATGGCTCGTTTCAAATACTGGGCGACATTAGCCGTATTAATGAGTACGGCAATCAATCTTCTTGCATTCAACATACCATCCTGAGAAAATATTGCTATTGTGTGAATATAGAGCTAATTTAATTTTTTGATAAATATTGACATACAAATATTTTGTATATATTGATGTTGTGATAAAATATTTGTGTACATAAGACTTTTCTGCATTTCTAAATGTTGAATATGGCAAAAGTACAATTTATGGAATATTTTGAAATGACAATCAGTTTATGCTCAATTTTGTGCTTTGTCCTTAAAAATCTTAAAATTATTCCTTTCCACTCTGCACAGAAATTCCCTGTGCAATTTGATTTGTTCTGTAAAAGTAAATACTGTTCCTCATACTTTCAATTCATCAAAATTTTTATTCATATTCTATTTTGAGAAATGTTCCAATTATTCAAACAATATTAAAATAATACTCATAAAACAGAAATGTATGTTATCTATTTTAAATTTGATATCTATTCAATTATTGAATGTGTAAAAAAAATTGCATAGTATTAAGTGGAAGGGATAATTAATGTTTATAGTTTTACACTATAATTTTTTCACATGGTGTCTTCAGTGCCAAAATACAATGTTCAGCTGTAAAACTATTGTCTGTCTAATTTAAGTTATCTAATTATATGAAAATATATTTTTCCAATTAGTTAAATAATTTATTGTAGAAAATTTTTCTTATAGTCAAATTCAAATTGTTTTGAAGTTTGAGGTTTTTTTAATAATAAAATATAGTGTTTACTGTACAAAAATAATCTCTGTTATAACATTTCTGCTTTGTACTTTATCTATGGAATATAAATTGGAACAGTTTTTATCCCATAGATATTTTAATTTATTACAAAAATTATATTTAATAATTATAAATTTTAATTCACAATACTTAGGGACCATAAAACATTACAAATATTCAAATTATGTATAGCAGATCAGATGTAACGTTTAGTTTCAATTAATGGCATGAAGGTTGCATGTCAATAGAACAAAAAACTATTTACCTCAAACTTTTTTCCACTCAAATAATTAAACTTTAATTTAGAAAGTAACTAACAATATTTTTTAAATTAGTTTTCTAATGTACTATACTTTATCATTTTTCATCTCATCAGAAAGTAAGCCTTATCAGACATTAATGACACTTCTTACTTAAAGAAATCTGGTTACTTCCTTGTATTGATTTTCTACTGTAACTTACAGTAACATAGCAACTAAACTAATTTGTCTCTACTTCATATAACTTTATCTTTCTATAAATAATTTAAGCTAAATGTTATCTTAAATTGGACAGACCATAGTTCTGTTTTTTTAACAGACAGTATAGTATTGTAAGTGTAAACTATAACTTTATATGTTTTTAAATATAGTGTGCATTATCAACATACAAGAAGCAGTATTTATATATATTATATACATATAAATAATGATTCGAACATTATATATTTAAAATTTTTGTTTTAATTAATAAATAGCTTTAATATCTGTTTATAATGTGAATATTGATTTTCCATACTAGAAGACAATTGTATGACAATTTGTTTGTTTAGTAATGCATTTCTATTGCTCTATATTTTTCAATGGAATAAAAGAAAATATATGATATTTCTATTGCTTTTTTTAAATTTATTTTTGACCCTATAAAATTATCAGTTCTAAACATTGGTATGCTCTTAAGTTACTTATCCATTATTTAGAAATGCCTGCAGAAACTAAAAATAAACATACAGCAGATTTACTATTTCTTTCAGATATGGCAATGTGTTTTCTTTAAAGTTGCTATTTATGAATCTAGGGTGTGTGTATATATAGAAAATAACTAAACCTTTCCCTACTGAATGGAAGGTAAGAGTTGCCCTCACTGAAAACTAAAATGTCTTTGTCTAAAGAAATATATGTTATATAATTCTATAGTACGTGTTCTACCTGATCGAAAATCGATCAAAGAAAACAGTATTTGATGTATCGATTAGAAAATCGATCAGAATTTATTTAAAGTAGAGAAAATTTTATAAAAATTTCGTAGAATCCCGTTTGTATCAGAGAAACGTTTCGTGCTACAGTATATCACTTAAAGCTTATTAAAACAAAAATGTGTGTAACGTAAAATTAGATCGTTAAAGACGAAATTATAAGTATATTGATTCAGATTTGGTGCATGCAAACGCAATTCTTGCATTTAAAGGAGAAGAAAACGAAGAATTTCTGTAGGGGCAAGAGGAAATAAAGTAGAAATTCGATATTTAACAAACAGTATTACATAAGATGAATAAGACGAAAGAAAATTAGCGATATTTTTAGAGTACTCTAAAAATGTTTGATGAAAATAGAAAATGCAATTCTCCAGGAAATTCTGATGGATAAGCATCTAAGGCAAATAATATCGATGCAGTGAGTAAAGCTGTTTCACACGACGAAAAATTCGAACAATATTGGATTCGATATACTCCGAATGATGGAAAAATAAGTAGAAAAAAAAAACTCGTGTTTTATTTCTCTTCCATCACTTAATGTCGTTTATAACATTGCATCCAGTTGAGTGATGCTCATAGGCTGAAATATTTAAAGAAATTTTCTATGTATCGACAAAAAAATAAAATTTATGTACTATTAAGCGCAATTTTGTAACGGCTAATGGGTGCAAATTCATCAAGATGATCAAAATCATCATAGATGTGATTTGTATCTATGAAAGATCACAGAAATTGGTAGTATTTTTATGTATAATTCAGTTGTCACATTTAAAACTATTCAGTGTTATGCAATCGCGTTTCATTGCATGAAATATTGATTATTAGCATTACAGATGTGTTTGTATCATATTGAATTTGAATGGATAGATTATTAATCTCTCTGAAGTCTCCATGATTTATCGTCCGTATTATTTACTTCAATACATTTATTAAATTTTTAAAAAATATAATTACTTTAAAAACATCTCAGTTCATTTAACGTTAATTCTGTTTTGCGGTTTTTTTTATGTTCTAGAATTTTAAAGTTGTTGGTAATTACAGAATTTGCATTGTACTTTCTTTTAAAATGCGCTTAATTCATCGTGATGTAAGAATTCTAAACGTAGTTATCAATTAAATATCGTATAAAATTCGTACCAGTTAGGTGGTCTTTTATATAACGTTATTTGAGATTCGATGCGAATATTTTTGCATTCAAAAAATGGCGAATATGTTAGTGAATTTAAAAAAAAAAAAAAACATCTGTTCTCCCGGTTTTCTTATGAGAAATTTTTGGCATTAATAATGCAACAGCCGATTGTTATCGAGGATTGATTTGTAATTTACAGTCTCCGACTTCCAGAAACTACTTTCTTGTAAGTGCGATAAGACAAAAAGGTAGCCACTAACGTTTTAAGTTCGAATAATATGCCATTTTATTTATTAATCGTCAGGCCATTAAAAAAAAAGAACGTGTAAATCATAATTTAGTTTCTAAAGCTTTAACCTTAAAAAGACCTTTTCTGTTGCAATTTTTGTTATCTTTATTTCTTTCTATTGACGTTTTTTGAAATGACCAATCGTAGTGTCTTTAAATCGAACTTGATTGACTAATCCAGAAACGCGTAGAGATACGTAGTTATAAATGAAACAATGGACTAACGACGAATAATGAAGCCATAGGCAGTTCGTAATTTTAATGATCGTTAGTGTCATGGTGCATCTAGAATTAAAAATTTAATCGGAATCAAATGCTATTAGTTTAATCTCGTATTGGAGAGAGAGAGAGTGGGGAAAACGTTGCTGGATATAAAAGGATTAAAAATATTAAATTATTATATTTTTGAAAGAAAAAGTTCGTTAAATAATTCGCTATTACAGTAAAACTTATCCCTAGCGTAACCTAAATAAAACGAAACCCTGTCTAAGCGGAAAAATTTCTTCGGAACGGAGCGATTTTATATATTAAAAAAGAAATTTGCCAAACCGGAAAAAATATTCAGTACTGTACATTCCGGTTTATGCAGGTTTTACTGTGTTATTAAAATAAACTCTGGGGAAGTAGTTCTTTAAAACTCCAACAGATGGCAGTCATTTAGGCTGACCTACCTCTGCTGTACGTGTTATCGCTCAATTTAACACAATCGAGCGGTGTGTGTCGTAACTCATTTCTTCACCAATGGTAAACTATGCGTGAATCAAGTGCCCATTTAGAAAAGTGTGAGCAAATATTGCTGATGCCATTGATATTGATTACATTATTAAGCTATTATCTGTAAGAAATAGAAGTACGTACAACACAATTTTTTGAGGCCCTTTTTAAACTGAAAATTTTGTATTTTTACCTTATTATTCACTCTGTTGCACTTGTATACTTTGTATTGTGTTTTTGAGGCTTCGTAAATGTCAGGCCTGGGTAAAATGTCTCTACTGTTTACGTGATCACGAGATAAAAGTTAAGCATTGATTTTTTCCTTATTAAAATGTGTGTCTTTATTATACTGTATATAGTGACGTAAGCGACATGACGTCACAAAAATGACCGAAGAGCTCCAATAAACTTACTATATAGTTCCATCAAAAGATTCATTTATAGTCCTTACATTGTATAGTTTAATTACTCACAATACGCAGCACGATAATAGTTTACAGTTTTCATACGTTAAAAATTCCAAAAATAAAGAAGTACACTAATAAAAATTCAAATCATAAGGCAGCGGGAAATTCAGTTCTGTTCAAATGGCCGAGCGCGAAGTATTTTTTATCAAGCACAAGAAAGGCAAGCAGTGGACCAATAAATAAATTTGGATGTTTATAATATCTTGTAATGCTTATTGTGAATAATTTCATAATGTAAGCACTTCTATAAATTAATTTTCTTGTGGAACTGTGTTATGTTTAGGCCTAAGTATATTGTAGTTCGGTACTCACCTATCAGGGTGGTTTTTGTGACGCGTCGTCTACGTCACTATCAACTTAGTTCAGAAGGAATATACTTCAAAAATTTTCTACTCTGGCCCAGGACACATTTATAAATCCGAAACTGCTTAAATAGAAGTCAGTTTCTCATAGAGAGTACTTCCCCTTGACAGATCGCCCAACTGGTGCTTTGCCTTATTCCATCGATCCATCCTTCCCTTTTTATTGATTCTAAATTAATTTATAATTATAAAAAAAATTATTAAAACTATACTTCAGCGTAGAGTAGTTAAATAATAGGCGTAATAATAATTTCGGAATAAAATACAAAAAACATCATTTAATTTCTTAATTTATCTTCATGTATGTCACCTGTTGAGGTCTGTCGAAATATGTTATCTTGTTTAACTAATGCATATATATATATAGATAGATAGATAGATAGATAGATTTTTATTCAGTGCTGCCATCCCAATGGAGTAAAACATTATAAGCAGGTTAATATAATAATTGTTTTTTACATCGTAGATGAAAAAGAATTACAGCTCATCGTATGCGTGAGAAAAATTAGCATGGAAGTAGGATATATTCGCTGAATTATAGAATAGTTATATGTTGGTGTTTTGACTAACAGATTCAGTAGGCGTAAACTATGAAAGTGTAAGTCATAACTTTATATTTGATATATATAATTTGAATGTATGATGTTTTATTATTGTCCAGTTTCGCGGGAGCAGAATCCGTAGGGTGCCAATGATTTAAAGTTACTATGACCTGTTAAGTTTTGAAACATTTTAAAGCTGTACTCTTGAATTTGGTATTTTAAAGAAGTCTGCACATTTGGGAAGAATAATTTAATAATGTATTATTACCTTTCTGAACATTCCATTTTTCTGTGAGATGTTTTTAACGTATGTCTAGAGCAGGGGCAGAGAGGCACGTACCCAGGGCACCAAAATTGTTACATGGGCGAACTATAAATTCATAGTAAACTATCATATACGACGGGTATGAAAAATCATAGTATCACGTGTACTTATACATTTTTTCTATGAACTGTTTTTCAAAATTTTCCAGAAATACATTTTTAATGTGTAACAAATGCGCCTTGCGTGCCCTCTCGCAAACAATGTTACTCGAATTGCTCGTACTATGAGCAATAGATTTTCGTTACTTTCTGCAATGTAAATTTAGTGTTGTCATATATAAAAAGATAAGTTTTGTAAACACTAGAACAAAATTTCTTTACATTACATCAAAGTGTCTTAGCCCTAAAAATTCTAAATCGCATAATATTTTATTTAATAAAATTACGTAAATAAACATATTGCAATATGTGTATTATTTAATAATTAGGAACATATAAATTTATATTTGCACGTTGCTTTTTGTTCTAAATATACATATGTATAAAAACTTTTAAGTCTTTCATTAGATAAAGAAAAGGTGCCATATTTAAGTTGCCACTCGTGCCAAAAAACTCTATAGAAAGGTTGATAATTAGTGATTGATTGCTTAGTTTAATCTCGTTGTATTTGCCATCAGACTGAGATAAGTTAGTATTTCTTTGGCTTTTTTTTAGTTAATATTTAATGATTTGTTTTGTAATTTGGAGATCCATAAAATCCACACAACAATAATTCAAGC